TGAGTATCAGATTGTTCCATCTCATTTCCCTTTGGGGTTGCTGTAGGTGATCTGGAAGTCTGTTTTTGAGGCTTTTTTATGTGTCTTCTCATTTCCACGGGGTCAAGGCAGTGATTCTGGCACCCGCACGGCTCACCTTCTCTGCCCTAGGAGTGTGGAATGGTGGCGGGGGAGCCTCTTCCTGGGCACTGGGATTGGCTCACCTTCTGTCACGGACCATCCTTTTTGTATAACCCACTCCTCAGGCTGACAACAGGTCTAGTCTGTCCTTTTGAAAATGTGCCAGAGTTCTCATGAAAAGTCTACCTGTAGGGTTTTGGACCTGTTCTGTGTATGTGTCCTGGGATTTTGTAATTAATAGGTCACATCTACTTTCTAGCCATCTTTGCCACAGCCTAATCTCCTGTATCATTCCTACCACCTGCAAACTGAACACCCAAGAAAGCTGGTGGTGTAAATTCCAGTACAAGTACAAAGGTCTGTGAAGCAGTAATACCAATGGTATAAGTTCTAGCCAAGTGTGGGAAAGCCTAATGTTTCAGCTCTGCAATCAGGAGAGAGAAATTCTTTTTTCTTTGTATTTGTATTCCATTTAGGTCCTCAGTGTATTGGCCCACATTGGTGAGGACATTCTGTTTTACTTACTCATCTCATCTGGACACAAGGTCACAGACATAAATGAGGAATAATATTTAGGCAAATATCTGGTTACTTGTGCTGGTCAAATTGATACATAAAATTAACCATCACGTAATTAAAATGGAGAATATTATTAGTTAAAATTTCTATAAGATTTTTATATCAGACTTTTTTATTTGGATAGCCCTAAGTTAATTTGTGTTTAAACACTGTCTTCATCTATTCTGGCTGCTAGAACAAAACACCACTAATGAGGTGGTTTATAAAGAATATAAATTTATTTCTTATAGTTCTAGAGGCTGAGAAATCCAAGATCTGGGCACTAACATTCAGTGTTTGCTGAGAATCTTACTTATGGTTCATAAAATGTAACTTCTTATTGACTGTTCCCTAGGCAGAAAGGATCTCTTCAGCTCCTCATAGGCCACCAATCCTATATATGAGGATTGTACTCTTAAGACCAGGTCACTTCCCCAAAGACCTACCTGCTAATACGGTCGCATTGGGGTTAGGCTTCAATGTGTAAATTTTGGTAAAATAAGCATTCAGTCCATAGTAGATATTTATACATATGAAATATACATATCTAAGTGAAAATACACATATCTAAAAGTCTTATGTAGTTGATATAATTCATTTCATAATGTGTCCTTTTGCTTTATATTTTATTCTTGATGATGTGTTAAGGAATGAATTAGATGACATAGTTTAAACAAGCAGATGGTACTCACTTGTAATTTAGAATTTGGTATAATGTATCTTTTACACAGTTTTATTAGGAAGTCTGGTGATTAAACCAAATGCTAATAGATACAGAAAAGTCTACAGGATTTTAGTCCAAACTATATGCATTGACATCTTATTTCATTATTTACCAACATTTACTACAAGTTGCATAATTTGTGTTGTAATAGGTCAAATAATTTGTTTGCTTTTCATGGATTTACATTTTAAATTTACATATAAATGTATGAGCGACAATTAGTAGAATAATGATTATCTTTCATAATCTATTTACCAATATACATCTGGTTTATGAGTCCAAAATTAGCTATGCTTCTGAATAACAGTCAGCTTTCTTCCATCACTGATTAACTTGGCTCTGTGTGTGACAATTTCATCTATTGTACTTGTTCAATATCAATAAATGAGTGTACTGTTCTTTTTTTTTGATACTGGAGATCGAACTCGGGACCTTGTGCTTGCAAGGCAGGCGCCAGAACCACTGAGCTAAATCCCCAGCCGAGTGTACTGTTCTTGATGAAAAGCAGTAGATTTATTTGGATGATGATTCTAATATTACCATTGTTATTCTGTAGACTATTATTAAACTGTTATTCTTTCTCTTATTCCAGTATGCTTAGTCATTTTTTGTCATTTTTATGGGTTATTTTATTTATCCAATAAGTAAGTTTATTTCTTTTCAGTTAGCAAATATTTTATTCTATATGATCATATAGTTAATGAAGATTTGTATGCTACATGGAAACAAAAAGTTATAAAAGAGAAAAAAATAAAAATACAAAAGTTTATATGTTTCCAATGAAAATATGGTGGATGAATATGAGTCACAAAATAATTTTAAATTTATTAAAATGCATCACCTTGATTTTTATGATGAGTAAAGATGAACATTATCTTTGGTTTCTTTTTGTCTGCTATCTTATATGCAATTTGCTCTAAAAATTAATACTTTTGGAATGGAGATGGCTATAATATATTTTATACAGGAAACTCTTAGTGCTTCATAAATAAATATTTCCTGGGTGACTTTTAAAGTACCTAAAAGGATAACATTTTTATAATTATTTGTATATGTTGGATAGCTATAATTTAAATTTGTAGCCTTCTTGACTGAAAAATAAATGTTTATCTCTCTTATATAAGAGCTCCTGAGGTAAGAATTTATATCTAGTCTAGCCACACAAAAAAGATCAGAGGATCAGGGTGCAGCATTAAAAGTTTTATATTATTTTCTCACAAATAAGTTCACAGGAGAAGCTGAGCCCAAGATTTTACTATCTGATTTTCACAAGGCAGGCACTTCACATGATAATATGAAAATATGAACTCAATATATGTAACTAGCATCAAACTTCTTGTATTATGTGTTTTCTTTTGGTTTATTTCTTGACCTTTGACTTTTCAGGATTAGTAGAAACATCTTTACATTATATAGTAAGATTTTTAAAAAGGTAACTTTTGCAGATTATTTTGTTAGACTTCAAAAGGAAATGTGATAAATAGATATGAGAAATACCAGTTAACTAAAACCATTATTTAGGGTCTGTGGAAGTGAAATTAGTTTGAGTTATTATGAAAATGACTTATCTTTTCAGATTGTATTATATTTTTCTAAAGCATTTCTTTCAATTTTGTCTTAGCTATTTCTGCTTCATTTCCAAACGCTTGAATAATGTTTTTTATTGAGATTAGAATCATCTCATCTTACCAGTAAGGGAAATGACTTCATGCATTGACTGTTGAATTGAAAGCTTGTTTTTCAGATGTTCTAAAAAAGTTTTCATTAGATGATTTTTGCTTCAAATATTGTAATTTGCACAGTTTTTCAGTAAGCACTGATTTTAAGAAAATTTATTTTGTTCAAAGAAAAAATTAGACAAATGAAATTTAGGAGAATTCATCTGAGCAAGCAACAACTCATAAAGTGGACAACACCCTAAATTATTAGGGATTTAGAGTTCCTCCCAACAAGGTGGCCAAGAAGTATTTATAGACAGGAGAAAAACCCGCACAACTGATGTACATAAGTAGCACAGTTGGTCATAGTTGGGAATAGTGGCCTTTTGGGGCATGGTGTGATGAAGCACATCATGGATGTAGACGAATCAGTTGGCGGCCTGTGTTTGGCTAAAGGTTGGCTCCTGTGATTGGCTGAGACTCTTATCTATTACAAGAATACAATCTTAAGTGAGCAGCAATTTATTTCCATCTTAACATTACAGTACACTATGTACAAAGGCAGCTCTAAGATAAATTCAACAAACAAATGAAATAAGTATGATAAATTTCCATTCAGTAGAATTGGATTTGGAGTTAGAAATTTGTATACAGTTCATCAGGTGATGTAAAAATACACTAATGTTAAAAGACCGTGGCTTGTACAATGATGACATGCTTTATCATTTAACTTTCTAGTCTGTCAGAAACTACACAAAATGTCATGTGAGAAGTGAGCAGATTTGCAATAAACTTACCAGCTGTAAAAGCTGTTCATTAAACTTGAATTGCCAGTGGGATCAACGACAACAAGAATGCCAAGCTTTACCGGGTAAAGATTTCAAAACTTGATAAGTGAGTTTTATATGCTGAAGAAGAATGGTATCATACTATTATTTCTGAAAAAAGTTTCATAATTGTATATTGTTTTAAATTCTTTTAAGGAAATAAATATATTTTTAAAATTCAGTTTTAATTTTAATATGATCAAAATTTGCAGATAGAACATATATCAAGGAAGATCTGTGAAGCCCCTCAATAATTCTTAAGAATTAAAGACCAAAAAAAATGAAAAAAGGAAAAAATGGAAACAAAGTCTTTGTAATTAGGGAGGGGTGGAGGGGTTGAAGGGAGGGTAGAGGAATGGGGAAAAAATAACCAAGATACATCATGTAAAAGTACAAGTTCCCAATGATGAATGTAACTGTGATATATAACCCAAAATGTACCAATAAACATAATGAAAAAAAAAATTAAAGACCAAAATGTTTGAGAGCTGCTGCTACAGACTAGTTTCATAAGGGTTTCACTAATCCATCTAAAGGCTTTTATATTTAGCAAGAGGCACTGATAGGTTTAATGTGATAGACTAATATACAGTTTAGCTCTGTAGATCAGTATTTTCATGAATCATTGTGTTGTAAGGTAGTGCACACTAGGGCATAACTTTATATTTAAACTTCTGTTTTAGAGAATAGTGTGTACTGTTCAATTTGGATTCAGTGGATAAACTACTAAGACTACATAAATGAGATGCTCTTTTCATAATTAAAGAATCAAAGAACCCATCTTAAATCACAACATTACACCTGGGTTACAGAAATTAGATTTGGAGGTCATTTGGCCTCACATATAAGGATAACTTTGAAATTGCTTTTATTATGCACTCGTTGTTTTTGTCTTAAAGTGATCTTGGCTTTTGTAAATTGGATTCTGAGATGTAAGCATGAGTATGCCAATAAAGTAGACTTATACAGAAAACCTAGGAAATAGTCAATAAATTTTAACAGATGTTGTAGAGCTATAGTTTATCTTTAATAGTTCAAGGAAAATTTAGGATTTTCCGTTTTCATTCTCTACCAAAATATTAGGCAACTTTTGTTTGGGATATTGATATATTTAAAATGTTTTATTTAAAAATAGCTTAAATTAATATAGAAGCTATATTTTTCATTCTGAAATAATTGATAGATATATATTTTCTATAATCTAAAAATAATACACTTTCTTTTCTTTGTTTAGCTCATCTTTGTGGAGAAGGATGGAGTCATATTGGGGATGCCTGTCTTAGAATCAATTCTAGTAGAGAAAGCTATGACAATGCAAAACTTTATTGCTATAATCTTAGTGGAAATCTTGCTTCATTAACAACTTCAAAAGAAGTAGAATTTGTTCTGGATGAAATACAGAAGTATACACAGCAGGTAACATCTATACTTGTTTATTTTATGGAAATAGGGTTTGATAATCCCAAAATTCTCAGAAGTGAATCATTCCTTTTTGTTTTTAAAATATATTGTTACTAAGTCTTGGAAATAAAAGTGGAACTGATTTCAAGAGTGAACTGGGAGAGGACTCATTCTGTAGCTATATTTAGTAATATGTTATTTATCTCATGTTTTGCATAGTAAACCATTATGAATTTATTTTTTTGTTTTTGTTTTTGGTACTGGGGATAGAACTCAGGTCCTTGCGCTTGTGAGGCAGGTGGCGGAACCACTGAGCTAAATCCCCGGCCCTATGAAGTTATTTTAAAGGAATAAATATGCTTAAAAGTATGTGTATATAATTTCATTATTATAACTCTACACTGTATAAAATAGCAGAGATTTTGACTTGAAATTTTTGAGAATATTACCAGTTACTCACTGCAGAAATACTTGAGTAATGCTTTTTGGTATAGCTGATTTTTTAGGGAGTATTGCTTTTTGGTATAGCTGATTTTTAGGGAGTATTGTGGATCTGTGATTATATGGAAAGCATATAATCAGGGGATGCCACTTATTTCTACAAGTTAGTAGCAGATTAACCTTTCAGTCCTATGTTACTAATTTGCAAACTGGGATTGTAGGCAATAAATGAGATATTAAATGTAAATAGTATGAACACCTTTTATTTTTTGTATTTACTGTGATTATCATTATTTCTACTTACAAATTATTTCTTATAATAGCACTGCTGTTATTGTTTCTGGGAGTCATTTTTATGAATTACGAGGTAGCTAAATGAATGTTTTGATGAATAGCTAATATTTTTATTGATTGTAGAAAACTGTTATCCCCATCTAGTGTTCTAATTTTTCTATGATGAATAATTAAATTTTATATGGGCATTCAATTTACTGCAGACCTTAATTTTTATGGTGATATTAGCATGCACAGTTCTCATGAATATCAGTAATGGATAATCTAATTTCTTATGGTGGTTTCTTTCTGTAGACCCAAAGCTGTGTCCCCCATTAATAACATTAATAATTATATTGCTTGTCTTTTTAAAATATTCAGGTATTTTGAACTTGTTCTCACAATATGATATGTGTTGGATTTATACCAGATCTATGCCTGGGATTGATAGGATAAGGAAAAAATAAATGTATGAACAATTAATCTATGAAACAATTTTGTATGTATGAAGTCTTACTATTTTTCTCTCAAATAATGGACTAGCATTATTTAGGACACATTTACTGAATACCTTTAGTATACTTGGCAATTTACTGCTTGCTGAGAATACAGAAATCAGAAGACAACCATTGTTCTCATATAGTTTATTGGAAAAGGATACAAATACAATAATACTAAATTGTGATATTTGCAATGATATATATATATATATATAACCAGGGTGATATATGAAGATG